TGATCAAATTATCCATCCACAGATTGAACTTCTGTGTTTTTTTTTTCTTTTTTAAAAATTTATTTATTTGTGCATACAGAGCTGGGGTACAGGCCAGAGGCTCAGGGGCGGCGAGTGGGGAGCAGAACAGAGAAATAGAGGAAGTACACTGCTGAGGGGAGCAGCGGGCGGGTCAGGATTGCTCTGCCGTGCCATGTGGTCACCTCCGGGGCAGGCGGGGATCGAACTCATTCTGAAGTGGCTTTAGCTTCTCAGTGCTGCGCTTTAACCTGCTGCACCACCAGGGAGGGCCCGTACTTCTAGTGTTTTATCTATGAAGTCTTCATTTAATAGTTGTCTATCTTTTTTCCTAGAAGTTTTCTAGGATTAGGTTTAGGTCTATGGGGGTTCACTTTTGTCTGTGGTGTCAGTTATGAATTGGGGTTCATCGGTCACAGGCTGTTGATGGAAAGGTACACGAGACAATGACTATGGAAAAGTCTTAAAAAGTCACATAGTAGCATGGGATACCCCATTCTACTCCCAGGTATTTGTGCAAAATAAAAGTGCATGACCACACAAGATCTGCACACAAACATTCACAGCAGCTTTACTGTAACCTCCCCAAACTGGAAACAGCCCAAATGAATGTCCCCTGTGAAGGGTAAATGAGCAGGGCACAGCCCCGCAACTCGGCAGTGAAAGCAAGCAAATACGTGTAAACGCCCTGGACCTTAAAGTGCCACATGTGAAGAGGCAGACACGAACATTGCACTTAGTGTATGTATGACCCCATTTATATAAAACCCGAGAAACTATTTGCAGGGCCAGTGGGTGGGTGGGGGGGTTGGGCAGGAAGGATTCCCAAGGGCTTCAGGAAATCTTGGGTGGTGACGATGTCCCATGGAGTCAAAATATCAATTTTTTTAAAGATTTATTTGTGCATATAGAACTGGGGTGCAGGCCAGAGGTGCAGGAGGCGTGAGAGGATTCACCAGAGACAGTGGGGGCGCAGAGTAGGCCGACTGAAAATGTCAGTTTTTATACTTCATCTACGTCCAGTTATTGTTTGTCAGCTCTACCTTAATACAGTGTTAATACTGACCTGCATAAAAGGACAAAACCTGTAAGAAAAATTGACCTTAAAATTATGTTATTGAAACAGAACTATAAAAATACACTGTTCAGGGCCCTCCCTGGTGGCGCAGCGGGTTAAAGCACAGCACTAAGAAGCTTAAGCCACTTCCGCATGAGTTCGATCCCCGCCCCAGAGGTGACCACATGGTGTGGCAGATCTCTCCTGACCCGCCCGCTGCTCCCCTCAGCAGTGTACTTCGTTGATCTGCCTGTCCTGCTCCCCACTCTGTCTCTGGTGAATCCTCTCACCCTCCGCATCTCTGTCCTGTACCCCAGTTCTATATGAATAAATAAATCCTTACAAAAATACACTGCTCAATTTCAACATAATCAGTCTAAGCATATTAGAGATTGAAAAGGCAGAACTCTGAGAGATTTCACTTAAAACCTAACAGTTGGCCCAGCCAGTTCAGGCCCGCTGGCCACTGCCACCTCAGTGCCAGTGCAGTGGTCCGGGGCCCAGAATGAGCTGACCCACATGGTGCAGCAGACCTGCCTTGCCCGCTGCTCCCCTCAGCAGTGCATTTCAGTCCATCTGCTTGTTCTGCTCCCCGCTCTGTCTCTGGTGAATCATCTCACCCCCTGCACCTCTGGCCTGCACCCCAGTTCTGTCTGCATAAATATATAATCGTTAACAACAAAACCCCAACAGTTGTTGCAGAACCTGACTCCAGCCTCTGTTTGCTTGCTTGAAGACACACTTCTGACAGGTGTAGGGCTTATTTCACCTCTCAAAATGACTCCAGTTAAAGGTCCCTCAGCAGGGTTGATAAAGGCCCCCCCCCCCCAGAGGTGCCAGTTCTGTTTCCACTTTGCTAATGAAGAAACTGAGTCTCAGCTTGAAAGGTCAGCCCGAGGTCCATCTCCTAGGGATTGGGCTCAGAGGCTGGGGAGCCCAGCCGTCCTTCCTTTCCGCCCTTCCGAAGCCCTCTTGTCCACGGAGGCAGCGGCGGTTCTCAGGGTCACTTCCAACTGCGGGGGGGCTGCTCCAGGAGCAGGAGAAACTAATGAAAGGTGTTGTGTTTACAGGACAAGTTAGGACTTGGGAAGATGCTGATCCTGGGGTGAAGGAGGGAGGAGCCCCGAAGGTGAGTGCTGCCAGGCACCAGGGACTCCAGAGGTCACCCCCAGATGCCAGCCTGGGCCCCCAGATGGTGGTGAGGGTGCCCTGCACATCGCACCCCTGGACAGCCCACCTGAGGCTCTCTCATCTATCTGCCCGCGGGAGTGGCCCGGCCAGGAATCTGGCCCCGCCCCTTATGGCCAGATCCCGCCCATCTATACAGGCCCCGCCCCTCTAGACCTTTGGCCAGCCATTCCCAGCTAG